GAACGGTGAAGGGAGAGAGAGCATGGAAACGAGGAACAAAGGGAAGGGTCGAGATGTCATGTTTGACCAGATAGTGTGCGTCAAGAACATGCGCGCCATCATGCACACCAAAATGGTCAATGGTAGCGCAGCATGTCTCTGGAGCAGCGAGGTCCGTCGAAGGACCACAGGCCACGTGATGACCCTTGGAACTACCATATGGAAAAAGTGCAGACGGGATGGGGAGTGAGCCTCGAAACCATGGCTGGATGTGTCTTGAATTGGAGAGAGGGGAAAAGGCAAGGACGGAGCCGTTGCGGAAACATCTCATGAGCGGACCAAATATGTGCCGACGTGTCTCCGTCCAGTCGGTTTCTCGTGAGGTTGAGCTCTGTGTAGTGTAACTGCCTGTATGTAACAGGGATGCCATCATCAAGACGGGATGCAGAATGCTACGTACTCTACAGACTCAAGTCCATGACGGAATTTGCTCCCGACCCAGCGACTTGGCAGTTCAGTTGATACACGCGGGGCTCAGAGTGGGCTATAAGTGCTATAGTAAGCGAGTCGAATCCAGTATAGTCTTGAGATAGGCTGGGCCGTAAAAAAAAAAAGGCCCTTGCCGTGCTCTTCATGTGCGGCTCGCTCCCGGAGTTTTTGGTCCAGCATATGCCGCGAAGAGCTGCGGTGCGCTCGATTACGGGAAAGCTTCGTAGACGTGGTGGTGCAGCGGGTGGCCTTATTTGGATGTTGCGAGAGATCATGTTCTTGGCGGGTGGTGTGGTGCGGTCATGTTGGCATGAAGGCGGTGAGTTCAGGTTGGAGGAGGGGGAACAAGGCATACCTGACAATTGAAGAGAAGAGGAGGCTGAGCAACATCCATGGTGCTCCTTCCACATCTCCCTATTGGCACCATTCAGTTCAGTTGGCATCTCCATTGCTGAACAGCGGGAAATTTTTCAATAGGTTGAGGATGACGCAACCTGATCAGACAATGCCGGTGATGTGGTGGACGGCGGATGTGGATGGATGTCAGAGAATGGGCAGGGGGAGTCGCACCTGCCACTTGGGCGCACAACATCGCCGGCCCCACGCCGAGATGGGTGCTTACCTGCTGCAAGTAGAAGGACTTGTTCAGCCGAAGGTGCACGAAGGTGCCACGACAGGTAGCCGGTACCTCGCGAGACAGTCGGTGTAACTCTACCTGGGGCTATTATGCCAAGAGCTGGCTGCAGTGGTGGTGTTGATTTTACTAGTGCAACGAACGAAGATAAAGCAGTGAGGGGTAACTACTGCTGCTGCTGGCGCTAGCGTAGCGTGGTATGAGTGCAAATTCCATCTCCGAGTTTGCGAGTTTGGACCCTAATCACGAGCATTGCCATGTCGCATACCCACACTTTGATTCTTGTTCCTTCTTTTCTGGTTGTAAACAATGCAAAAAAACGTGGTGACTGCGATGACCTGAGACTTGATCGGGTTGCGATGGGCCGCCTCAACCAGAAAGGAAACACTACTATGAAACCAACAAAAGTTCCCCCCCCCCCCCCGCAATGTGTAAGTGCCCAACAGCCACGGCGCAAGATCAAAGGGCTTGTTCTTCCTCTGCACGTGTGGCATATCTACCTGACGCGAGACACTGCAGTGTTCATCTGTTCCCGCGTGTCTGGCTGCGTCCAGGACTTGTCTCTGTGCAACAGTCCCAAAAAGGTGGTGATACAACATGTAGACATGCAGTCACCGACAGCAAGATCGAGCATGTCGAGGACTGAAAGTCCGGATAGCTGGTATCTGACAGATTTGCTCCCTTGTCCAAGACCCATTGCAACTCACCACCATGTTGGAAGACGGCTGTCGACCGAATGAGCATAGCGTTTGGATGCTATCATCACAAGATGCTGCTGACGGTCTATCTGGTTGCCAAGATGAGTAAAGGTTTACGCTATCTGTGTATTATTACTCCATGTCTCAGAGCTAGCGAGTCCCACGGTGAATTTGCGATTGTCAGCTTGTGTTTCAGAGAGATGGGGTCAAGATGATCACGTTATACTGCCTACATTAGACTGGATGTGATTGTAGTTTTGGGGGGACCCGGATAGATGGGGATGAGTCCGATCTCATACCGGTCCCGTCGGCATCGGCCAGGACAGGACAGTCGTCCGGTTGTTTTCCCGGCCCATCGGTCATTGTTGCAGTGTCGAAACAGCGCCGTTTCCTGCTGCGCAGACAGGTGCTCAATGCATATGCATCAAGGGCCCATTGGCCCCAGGCTTAAAAGGCGGTGCGTGGGATAGCAAGCTGTCATGATATCATGGCACATGGAATCCTCGTGCAGATATTCTTGTGTAATGCCAATAAGAGCGGTCCGACTTGGTTCTTTGCGTCCTCCGGCTGTAGTAGTGTAGTCGTGAATTGGGTCCGCCTACCTTTGGCGCTAGTGTGGTGCCATCCTTGCCAAAGTTTTTCCCGACTTCCTCTCTTGAGACCCTCTCGGGAAAAAGAGTCTTGTGAACGGTCATGATCACCGAGATGCAGAATCAGGTCTTTGACGCTTGAAGGAGAGAGAAGTCGCAAGGTCAGTATTCATGGCTCCTAGTGATTGATCACATATTGAGAACCATCAGTACAATTTCGGCAGAACTTGGGTACCAACTGACATCCAGAGAGAAAGCTCTTCGGAGTCCTGTAAGCTTGGCGGTCTCTTAGACGCCGGCGGCGCATGGCTGCGATCGTGAAGGGGGCTTGGACATGTAGTACAAACTTTGATATAGCCTGCCCATAACCGTCTCGGATCCTTGCTCGCGAGGTCCCTTGGGAGCTATGTATTTCGGCCCCATCCCCATCCCCGTTGCTGACTCGAGCTTGTCTAATGACCCCTTGTCGTCTTTTCCGAGACCCTGACCCCCCCGTAATGACGGAAGAAGGCCAGATACGGGTTGAGTTGGCGAGTGACGAGGGCGCATGGCTGCCATTGACATGCCCATCTTTTGTCTATCCTTTCTCCACCGTCCAGGTTTCTCCATCACCATCGCAATGACATGAAGGACTTGGAAACAGAGTGGGGCCCGGGGCTGTCTTGGACGTTGATCTCGTTGCCGAGTATCCTTCATCCCAAAGCAAAAACTAACCGCCGTTTGATCAAGTTGACGATGGAACTTATTGCGGCGCAACTTTTTCTGCGGTGTGTTGACGTCGCTGTCGGAAGCCCATGTGCAGACGCCATGGAGGAGAGGAGTTTGTCGAAAAGCAGCAAGGGTCTCTGCGTCGTGTTCAAGCCAATCATAACATGTGATCGCTGGCTTGTGCTTTGCAGTGCCCTTTTATAGCGGGGCATGTCGGGTACACAAGTGGAAGGGAACTGAAGTCTCTAACAAGTGGAACTCGCTTGAGATCCATCATAATAATGTCTTGAATGTAAACCGCCGAAAACGTACCAACGTTGAAGCTTCTCAAGATGTCCATCATCCACAATGATTGGAAAAGAGCGAGAGTTGACATGTAGGAGAGAGTAGCATCGGGCACTTGCGCCTTGCACGTATCTTGCATATCCGACCAAAGTCGATGAAGAGATTTCTCTCCCGCAAACAACCTCACTCTCGGGCAGCGCTCCATCTCTCTCGGCTTCAAGGACAACGTCCGGTGTAGCGAGAGGTCACGGTTACATGGATCCAATCGATGGCAACTGCGTGCGTCGTATCTCAGCTGGAGCTCTCGTGCTTTCCGCCAGCTCTCTCTCTCTCTCTCACTCTGCTCAGAGCGACAATCCCCGCCGACAAGGCTTGGGCCAAGGAAGTTCAAAGGAAATCGGCACAAAACACTGTCGGCGACTCTGCAGTGATCAGCCCAAAAAGCGAAAAAGTGTCAAGTTCTGGGGTACGTACCGACCTCGCTAGCGCCCGCAGGATACCTCGACACTCACTTCCTTCATGCACGTTCGCATATCGCAAATGTGGAAGTGGCAGCACTTTTGCACGCGTGAGAGGGTCCTTCCTTGCCTTTCGCATCACTTCTCGTCGTGCGGTCAACGACGAATCTATCGCAGTTGCCCTTTGTTGTTTCCTGTTGGGTTGCTTCCAGCTGTCGCACTCCCACTCTCGCTGTACTGCGACTGGAGTCTGCGATGAGAGCAAGAACACCACTAGACTAGAGGCAGGCACGATCTACCACTTCCGTTAGCTGGTTAGCTGGAGGTTCCTGAACAGGAAAGCCCGTGTGATACACCAGGGGCAGCCACTGGAAAAAACTCCCGTCCTAGGTAAGCAAGGTAAGATCGATTTCACCATGCTGGCCTTCTTGGCTTCGTTCCATTCCCCCATCCTCACACTCAGTCCCTCCAACCCCCCCTCTCTCTATCCCGATCTCCCAATCCTCCATCCACACTAAAGTACGGACATGTACCATCTTCAACCACCACCGGCACCCAACATCCCGATCCCATCTTGGCATCGACGCAGCGTCAATCAATCGTCCCATTTCTGCGTCCTCCTCCACTCATACTACGTTACCAAGTCCACGAAGCGATCTAAAACATAGACGAAAGCATGGAAGCTATCCAAGATCAAGATGGCACTAGAGCTGACTAGTGTACCTAGAGGTAGGCATGGCTCACATGGCCATCTGTCTTTTTTTTTTTATCTCCCTTTTCTCTGCTGCCTGCTTGGAGGTACCTTAGCGGATATCCGCCTTCAGTATCTCGTTGCTTGGCTTGGACTCTGAGGCTGAAGTGCTCCAAGTCGGACACCTATCAAAGAAATAGCCTCTACAGGGAAAGCCCGCCAGACTGTGGAGAAGCCGAGTGCTACGCTTCTCACCCGTAGTGTACTCACAGCTTCCCCAGAGATTAGGTTAGGACGACGGATGGTCAGGTTGCACAAATGGCAGACTGGAAAAAAAAAGCAGACATGGGTCTCTTCGGCTGGGTTAACGAGAAGGAGGTGGTGGTGGGTGATAAACAACCCCATCTGTCCACACCCACCCCGATCCGTCAAGTTCATTGCAGCACAACAAGACAAGTCGAATCGGAAGCAAATAAGGACGTCCCTCTCTCCACCAAATTTTTGCCTCCCCCTGTTCCTTCATGTCCCCAGTGTCTCTCATCACCAGTCACACACATCTCAAAGACCCTTGTCGACAGATCGAGACGAATTCCCTCCCTCCTACTCGTCGTCCTCACCGTCCTCTAGCCTCATCTTATTACCTCTACCTCTGACCTTTTCTTTTGCAAAGGACCAACACGTATGAAGGACAGGACAAGATCGTCCCGCTGCCGTTGATCTACACCATTTACTGTTCCTCGCCGGTCCGAAGTGTCTCCCCATTCCCCTCCTTGACGGCTAAACGCCTTCGAGTTCTTCATCTTTTCTCCACAATTCTCGACTTCCGACTGTGTAGAGATACGCCAAAGCTGTATGCATGACCTTCCCCATTTCACAGAATAGTCCTGGACAGTGTAGTGATCGACCATTTTGCTCAAGGCCAGGCTGACTAGTGCCACAAGGTCTCTACTTTGTGACTTCAGCCCCCCTCACACACCTTCCACACCTCATCTCGGCCTTTCTTGGCTGCCCGCCCATCGGCCAGCCTTGTTTTGCCCAATCCGCCTTGAGCAACAGTTTAAAGCATTAGGGGCGCCTCCCTCCCTCCAAGCACCCTTGTTTTCACCCTTTTGGTATGGTCTCGTTAGTGACGGGTTATGGACTCTTCACTTCCTGCCGCGTCGGACGACGGAGACCTTGCCTGGTCGGATAGCCACAGCATGGATTCGGATGATATTCAGGGTCTTCCCCAATCATCGTCCTGGTTCACCTCACTTTCGTCAACCTCAACTTCTGCCTCAATGTCTTCGGCCATGAGCTTTGCTCAGACTGGCCAGCTTTCACCCATCAGCAATGGCATGGACGCGTCCTATCATGGCACGGATCTTTCAGGCAATTCTTGTTGCTCTTCCTCCTCCGCTTCTGCCTCTGCCTCGCCTGAATTGACCCAGTCGGCGGCTTCTCTCTCTTCTATGGAGAATTGGGAAATGGCACTCGACAGTCACCATGGCAGTTCTGGCCATGGCCACGGCCACCATTATGAGTTGTCGTGGGACCCGGACTCGGACGACAACATGCTGCCGTTGCCAAAAATGGAGCCATTGGACGATGACGACTTTTGCATGGACCATATCAAAGAAGCTCCTGCAAATGCACTTCCAAACAGCGACGGTTCGATGCTAGATCAGCCAAAGGCGAAGCGGCCCCGAGGTCGGCCCCGCAAGCATCCAATTGCGCCTCCTGTCCTTGCGAACAAGATCACAAAGGGCCGATCCAAGACAGGCTGCCTCACTTGTCGGAAGCGCAAGAAGAAGTGTGACGAGGCAAAGCCACGGTGTAAGTGCAACTTCAACCCCAATCGGCTGTCGTTCTGTTCTAAAACCCGTATAGGCATGAACTGTGAAAAGAATGCCGTGGTTTGTGAAGGTTACCCCGAGAAACAGATCTGGAAGAGTGGCAGAGAGAGGGCCGAGGAGGGTAAGCACAGCAGCCTTGGGAATACACCCGTGGTAGGACAGTCTAACATGCCCATGCATGCAGAACGCCTCAAGTCCCACAGTTTGCCGTCCATTACCATGCAGCCACTGTTCCACGGGCTCGAGACGGTCGAAGATAGGATCTTCTGGAAGCATTATAACGAGCATCTCAGCACGGTGTTGACCGTTGAGGGAGAACACAAGAATGCCTTCAAGGACATGATGGTGCCAATTGCAGTCAAGCATCAAGGCCTCATGCACTCCATCCTTTCGTTGGCCAGCAAACATATCGACTATGATACACCTTACGGTCTCAATATCCTCAAGAACAACCGATCGACATCTGCCCACAAGCTCCACGAACGGTCTCTGTATCATCACGATCAAGCCAGGCAAAAGTTCTATGAGGACGTGGAAGTCAGCGATGCAATGAACCCTCAAGACAAACTCCGCGTGTCTGCCCGTTACGGCCAGATGCTTTGCTTCCTCCTCGAGGCATTGGCTGAGGGCAACCCGCGTGGTGAGCACCGGCTCCATCTTTCGGCATACAAGAGTCTCATTTCAAGCTCGCCGCCAGAGGACTCGGCTTTTTTCTCGTTCATCGCCGAGTTTTTCCAGTACCATATCTTTGCTGATGAGTTGATTCATTCCGTTTCAACTCTTCACCACCGTGCGATTCCCAACGATGCCAACTACACACCAGCTATCTATCCCCCCCGGCTCATTGGTGTTGCCGATGGACTCTTGGAGTACCTTCCTCAAATTACCATGATTCGAAACACCATTCGGCACAATATTGTCACTCAAGTCGATCCAGTGGTTGACTATGTCAGCCTCTATCGGGCGGCTGAGATCGATGCAGCTATCAAGGACTGGACCCCTCACTGGCCTCAAGGAGACCATCGTGACCGAGTAGGACTCCTGTACAAGCACATGATGTGGATCTACCTTGTTCGGACCGTCTACCCGCCGTCTCCTTCGGCTCCTTTGCCTCCAACAAAGTCATCGGATCTCCGGTTGTCTCCCCTGTCCAATGCCAACCATAGTCGATCCGCTGTGCCTGGTGTTACTACGCCGCCTATGTCGGCATCACCAAGCTGCACTTCGTCGCCCAAGTTGGAGGGTTCAGATTATGGAATGGGCTCCGTCCCTCTCCTTAGCACCACTTCATCTTTGCGAGCCGAGTCGCCGCCACCATCTCGCAAGCCACTCCAGCACGACCCACGGGTTACCGTGGCTGTTGAGGAGTCTTTAGGCATCATGAAATCTTTCAAGCCTAGCGACCCATGCCAAACCCTGCTCCTCCTCCCATGCTTTATCATCGGTACGGCATGCTTCACGCCTACCCACCGGGATCGGGTTCGGGCTGCTGTAAAAACTGTCAAGGGATACACTGGTCTTAGAAACGCTGACCGCGCCTTGGAAGTTCTGGAGCATGTGTGGCAGCTTATGGAGAGTGGTGATTGGGCCGCAGTATGGGACTGGCCTCGTATTGCTCAGGGGTTGGGTCTGGATTTCATTCCTGCTTAAACCCCTTGGGTCGTACGTGAGTTGGATTTCAAGACTCGTGGTTCAGGCAGCAAGACTGCTAAGATCACCTTCCCATGTACTAACAAACTACATGCCGCTTGATTTCTTTGAGGTCGTGCTTATTTTTATCGCATGTTTTTCTGTTTTTCATTTCGTTTTTCATCGCACTATATCCTCTTCTATCATGTCGGGTGGTGTTACGGAACATAGGATACTGGGTCATGTATTTTCCTTCTGTCATTCGCTTAAGCGTGGAGTGAACCGGGCATTTTTTTGGCTTCTAACATCATATTTCTCATTCATGGCGATTTGGTACTTCAGAAAGATGGCATGGAAAGGTGTTGTAAAGGAAATATCAACATGTACCCAAGGGCGAGGGCGAAACTTGGTCGGATCAGGAAATCGAAGCATGCGCTTAACTACATCCAAAAAAAGCATTTGGGGGGACGCGGGGTAAAGAAGAGACAACGGAAGACGGTTAGGAGTTTGATTTGGCTCAAGGTACAGGTGCATCGGATCATAGGGGCTTTGTGGTAAGGGGGTGGGGTCAAAGAGCATAGGGGAAAATGTGGTCAAGAGACATATCGGAATGGCGTTCTCTCGTTAGGATTTGACTTTTTAAAAAACATTTGGCCATGGTCGAGTGGCGGGTGCCACGGGGGTTTTTCGTTTCTTGGATATCTACGCTCGCTGGTACATTTTTGAAGCGTTACGGGAAAGGTGTTATAAGGAATATTTGCAGAGGAAGGGGCCCCATTTGGGGATTGGCATGTGCATGGGCACAAGATGGGAATCACTCGCTGACTTGAGATGCGTCACGTCGCAATATCGTGACACGAAATGAATCAAATGATGGTCTTCTCTCGTTGGATCAATACTGATTTCTTCTCTACTCGTGAACGCGTTGTTTCTTGCCACTGCCTGGTCCTCAAACTATTGGAAACGCCTTGGATCACGGTGATGTGTGTTCACCTATACCCCGATTGAAGGCAACAAGATGGGTGGCTCAAGAGGCCTACCAAGCATACCATTTGAGGGATGCGTGTTAAAACTCTCCACCTAGCTTTCGCTGACGTGCCGATACAAACGGTTGGCCAAAACCCCCATCTTGGAAACTGTTGGTATCTGTAAGTTGCGCTGTTTACTCAGTCGTCCTCTCTTTTATTACACCAGGTTGACCTCCATCTTCCCTCCCAAACAACGCCATGACACCTCACACACAACCGCATCGCCATTTCCGCCGGCGGTATCTCTCTATATGTATAATGAATATAAACTTTCTGATAACATGCGCTACACATATACCTGTACCACTTGTCGTCCTCTTCATCACAGCTGCCCAGGCTGCTACTGGGTGTCAGGGACAAGTGGCATGTTGTATCTGGAAGCCATTGTTCATGTTCACCAACGATACTCGCCAGTAACGGGAACAGAAACATATCAGATTGGTGCCTCTACATCCACCCTATCACCACTGCAGACTACGCCGACCCATCTCTTTGCATGGGCCAAACATGCTGGGGTCCTGGGGTTCTCAAGCACCTGCGTTATCGTCAGCTTAACGGCCCGCGTCTGGTGAGAAATGTCAGCATGGCCTATTTGCCTGTCGTGGAAGTATGAGAGTTGGAATGCGGTAATCTGGGAGGGGAGGGGGGAAGTTAGAAGGGGAACTGGGCAAAGAGCGGTAGTAGCACTCGGTGATGGTAATGGCACCTATGAAGAGGGAAGGTGCTAGAAGCAGTTTGGGTGTGCCTCCTTTGGGCAGCCGAACAGCCAAGTACCTCTAGCTACCTAACTTTACTGACCACTTCCAGGGCTCTTAACCAAACATCGTCCCTTCCTCAACTCCTGACTACAGTACTTCTCGCTACAACATTCAACTCCAAAGCGGAACACTGACGTCTCGCATCCGTCACTAATCCACCAGGTGAACGGTCTCAACCGCCATTCCAGTCCCCATCCATCTCCAATGACATGTTCTGAGTCCTATTTCACTCACTTCACGTGCGGGTGGTTGGAGCACCTCTTCCACTTTACATTCTCAATCTTATCCTCCTTGGCCATCTGGTGAGCTATGTTGACGGTGCCGACCTTGTTTGGTGTAGCGTCGGAGGCGGTACAGTATCTCCTGGCCGTGCTTCTGATCAGGGGCGACCAATTTGTAGGTAGTGTTTGTCATTGTTTAGTTACTGCTTGACCGGCTGATGGTATTGCTGTTGATATAGTTTGTCTTGTTGCTAACTTTGTCTTTGCTAGCGTTGTCATGTCATGGTTGATGCTGTATGTAGGTATCGTTGTTTTCCGATTGTAGGCCGTTAGTGATGGGTGATAGTCAACCTCATGACTACAGAACAGGTGATGGTAGAGAGAGGTCAGGGATTTTGTTGTTCGGCCGAAGCAGGTTATGGTCAAAATATTCCTAACGATCAAGATGACGATGATGGTAGGGAAGGGGTAGGTAGCCACAGAGAAATGACGGGCGGAACTTTCATGTCAGGTTTCTACATTACACCCAAGGAGGAGGATTTCGGACCAAGGTTTGGTTCTGGATATCAACATGAAGGGAGGCTGTGACGGGTCTAACCAGCGGGCGGGTTCTGGTACCCCACGATGTATTGGTAACAGTACCTCTAGGTGTCTTGACATTCACCCAACACGGTCCTCGAACAAGAAAGACTAAATGGTCCAATGACGGGTGGTTAAAAGTCTTGTTCAAACCTGGCTCATATACAGGATGGTGAAGGGTCGTGTTTGAACCTGACCATAACCTTAGTTTCGCCCCGGTAGCGGAAATTGCTGTTTGACCCGAGTATAAGATCCCTCCCTCTCCATTTCTCTGATGCAGTTTTACTCTTTCTCCCATCATCATCATCACCATCATCATCTTAATCAGCAGAAACTCCAACTTCGACCAAATAACTCACCTTCTGACCCATCTGTCACCAATCTTGCAGAGTTGACAAATGATCAGCCATCACTGACAGCCTTTAACCGGAAAACACCCATACCGACATCAGTAACAGCAATCTTCAACGACAATATCAAACTCCTACCATTACCCAGAATATCTATAGAGGTGAGCGACACCTGATTCAACCCGCAAAACGCCAGGCAAGTACAAAAAACATGCCCACCTCCTTCTCTCTTCTTACCTACGAAATCGATTATCCAGTCTTCGTCCCTCACCACCTACATTACATACCCCTAGATACCTCTATATATAAACCTAACAAACTTTCCACAGTCCTCCTCCCTACCCCAAGGTACCTACCACCACCACAACCGCTTGGGTACTTGGTACATAGTGCTACCTACAAAAGCACCAAAGAAACCATCACAATGAGCGCCAATCAGCCCGTATTCACCATCTCCATAACCCCAAACAACATTGCATCGAGCTACCATGTCACCATGACCGAAACCGCCACCGGAAGCGTCATCATCACGATGACTCCCGTTATCCAGCCATCCAATAGTCCTCCCACCACCAACCAGCCTTACATCAGTCCTCCTACCACTCCTCCGCCCAGCGGCGCCGGCGCAGGCACCGAGGATTCAGACAACCACACCTCAGAGGCGGAGTAGTGGTTGAGGCGTGATCGGGGGTAGAGGAAAGGATATTGAAGCTGTGGTAAAAAAGAGAAGTTGTAGTGGGCAGGATACCTCTTGGTAGAAAAGAGAAGGAAGATGGGGTTCGAATCGAACGTGGGTGATGGAGGATATGGAAGGGGGGGAATGGTTAGCCACTACCACGAGCATGAGTCTGTGGATCTCATGCTAATGTACATCGCCATAAAATCGACTGTTGCAGATCCCCAACTGAAATGCGACCCATATCAAGTTCACACGTCAAACCTGATAGTCAAGTGCCTTGAAAACCCTCATGGTATTGAGCTGAATCAAAGGTTCCTTCTTACAACAATCCCATTCATCTTTCCCATTGCTCCCGCAAATGCGCCCTTAGAAAATCATAGAAGATGATGATGATGATAGTACATGTATGTATGCCGTGTATGTGTCGTCCGCCCAAAACCACATCCACGTCCACAAAAAAAAAAGCCTTCTGCTTTAGCTGTGGTAGTCATGTCGGCCCCTTTTTGTCTTTCCCGTTTTCCCTTTTTTCCCCTTGTGCTTGTACACTCGTAGCCACATATTTGTTGCTGTACATCCGTAGCCAAACATACCTATGTGGCTACCTACCTCTACTCTATGCTTGATCTCGACTCTTTTGCCACTCTACCCAGGGGCTACTACATAGTAGCACATGTATGCATTTGTCATCTGATTTTTGTATCGTTCAGGAGGTGTTACAATAACCGCTGATCGCCCTTTTTCTTGTTTGCTTTTCGGTGGTGCTTTACTTGTTGCGCTTTAGCGTCTTGACGGCCATTTCTATTAGGCCATCCTTGGCTTCGCTGTCTGGGAACCCGCTGATGGCCTCGATGGCCTTTTCGGCGTAATCCTGGGCGAGAGCACGGGTCTGCTCGATGCCGTTACTCTGGAGAACCAACTCTCTTGCCTGTTCATAACGATGTTAGCATTTGTGTGTGTGTGAGATCGAACAGCTAGCAGAGCAGGAGAAACATACCCTAGCAGCATCACCCTCCTTCTCGAATTTCCTGCCAACCAACGGACCAAGCTCCGGCATCGTCTTCCAGGCAAACAGTAGAGGAGCAGTCGCCAAGCCCAGCTCAAGATCAGCACCGGCAGGCTTGCCCAACTCTTTCTCGCTACGAGTGTAGTCCAGCATGTCGTCGACCAGCTGGAAGGCCAAGCCGAGGTTCTTGCCATACAAGTAGGCAGCATCCACCGTCGCCGCATCAGCGCCGCCCAGCAGCGCAGACGCGCGACAGCTCTTGCTGATCAGGGAAGCGGTCTTGAGGTAGGTCTTTTGGAGGTAGTAGGTGAGAGTCTCCTCGGACCATTTGGGGTTCTTTTCGTCGCGAGCCGTGTTCTTGAGCTGCATGAACTCGCCCTCGACAAGGTTGGCAATGACGGTAGCAAGAAGCTCGACAACTTCGGCGTGGCGAAGGCGGGCAAGGGCGACGGAGGCTCTGCCGAGAAGGAAGTCACCAGCCAGGACGGCCATCTTGTTTCCGAATTCGAGGTTGGCGGAGGGAGCGCCGCGGCGGGACTCGGAGTGATCGATGACATCGTCGTGAAGAAGGGAGGCGGTATGGATCAGCTCGGTGATCTCGGCAAGTCGTCGCTGGGAAGGGAGGATGTCGGTATCTGCGGGAATGGAGACGGGAGTGGCGTCAGAAGGGTTGAAGTCGGAGAGGATGTTGAGAGGCGAGATTGAGGTATCAATGGCGGCCGAGGCCTGGAGAGTCGATTGTTGCCTTTGAGGAGCCTTGGGACACAAAGCGGTGGCACGAGACATGAGGAGGACGATTAATGGGCGCACATGCTTGCCCTCGGCCTGTGTGTAGTACTTGGCGGCGCGGTCGAGCGAGGGGTGGCCAGAACCCAGGAGCTTGCGGATGTTGCCTGTTAGGAACTTCATCTCGCCGGCGACAAGACGGAGAGGGTCAATGGTGGGCAGACCGTCGGTGCCCTTGATGGCCTTGGTCACGGCATTGTTGACAATGTTGCCGGCCACCGAGACAGCAGCAGCCCATGCCGAGTCGTTCTTCTTGGTGTTGTGGTAGAGGGCCTTGGACTGCCGTATCCTCCGCTCGAGGGGCACTACTGTAAGGCTTTGTACGGCACATCTCGACTGTGTAAGACCAAGACCGGTCCGAACCACCGAAGCCGCTCCCGTCCGGAGCTGCATGATTCCCGTGTTTCCCGCGCACGTCCTTCTTGCCGAGAAGGACCAATTGACTGTTGACTATTTAGCTGGCAAGTGTCTCTTGCATGTAAGGGTGATTCCGAAGCTGGGATGCGACTGTCGTGGGGTTGTCGAGGACCGATCGGGTGGTGGCAGGAAGTTGGTTGTGAAAGTAAATAAAAAAAAAACAGCTCTCTCTCTCTGCTTGTCGCCGGGTGTGACGGGTCACGGGTTGAGCAGTAGATGGACTTTTTCTGTGGTCGTGTGGTGGCACTATGGAATTCGGAGGAGGCTCAGTCCAACCATCCGGATGGCGAAGTGGGTGTGGTGGTCGGCGGTCGGTGGACGGTGGTGGGTAAGCAGTCTTCCCTCCGGTGGGTGCGGCTTACCTTTACACTACACAACTACCGTGACAACGGCGACTTGCTCCTCTTCCTCCGATCCCGAAAAGTTCCATCCTCCAAAAATTTGGCGCTCGGATCATCCTCAGCTTCCATTTTCAGCAGATAAGCCCCTCTCTGCAGGTCCAAAGACTTGGCATTGCGGCATTTGTCCCATATTTTGTGGCTTTCACGTGGCTGAAGCTGGGCAATTTTGTGAATGATCTGAGGCTGATAGTGCAGATCTTTCTCTTTTCAGACAAGCTCGACTTGAATCGATCCAAGCTGAGCTCTGTGAGAGCTCCAGGTACAGGGACCTGAATTTGGAGAAACGGGGTTTTCGGGGTTTGGGTGCACCTGACGACTCCACTGAATCTATCTCATCAGCTCCCGCGCGACGTTTCATCATTGACATCAGAACATACATAAATATCACCAATCTGCACACCCAAGTCATACTACGCTATCATGGTTCTCCTCACAGTGACCTCTTCCATCTTGGAAGCTCTACAAAGAGTTCCAGATGGCCCAAGTAAACTACAGCGAGATGGCGAGCCGTCATTAAGCGATGTCGATATTGGTTCACCCATCTCACATGGCCAGATCATGGATTTGCGGAATCTACTCAAAGCCGGTAACCATAATGAGTACAGCCTGGAGATACTGTTGAAAGGTTCCAAGGTTTATGTGCCTCCACCACCGCCGAAGCCTGAGCCGGTAAGTGGACATCACTCACATCACTGACCTAGCTGGGGAGGCATGGCTAATTCCCAAAACAGTCTGATGAATACAAAGCATTGATGGCCAGACTTCGCCGTGAAGAGGAGGAACGCGCCTATGAACGCATGATCAACCCCGTTCCACCCATGGAGACCTTCTCGCAACGATTCCCTTCAAGCACGGGCATGGCTCGGGCATTCGCCGAAGCCAACAGACCTACACGAAAGGAAGACATGGGCGATGATGATGTGACGTATGACGAGGTGCACCGCCAACTAATGCTCATCTTCAACTTCATGGTCACCATGCTAGGCGTGGCAGCTACTCTTTGGATCTTGGCGCGTTGGTGGAGCACTCCGGCTAGAATCTTCCTCACTATGGGAGGCAGTATCATTGCAGGTGTTGCTGAAGTTGCTCTGTACTCGGGATACGTGTGGCATCTTGGTCAGGCGAAGAAGAAGGATAAGACTTTCAAGGAGGTCAAGGAAGTGGTCCAGACATGGGTTGTTGGTCCGGAAGACAAAGAGGCAGCAGACAAGCTGATTGCCATTAAGGATAAGGAGCCTGCTGCCGAGGACACAAATCTTAGAAGACGCAAAAAGTAGATGTAGACTGATAGATTCAGTTTATCCCTACATCACCTAGTGGAGAGCATGGGAGAGACGACGGGATTCAGGGGGTTTGTTTACTTTGGCGGATCCAAAGTGGCTGAGCCCCACGTCATTGAGCGCTGTGCTTAGGGATGGCTTGGCAGCGTGAACTCGCGTAACAAACGCGTCGCAGTCCAGTGTAATTTACCCATTCCAATCCCTGCGAAGACGGAAAGTTCACGCGGGGCGCTTTTGAAAGTAAACACAAACAACAAACTGAAGCTTTCACAAGGTAACTTATAGCTGCCATTCTTCTCCCCAGACCTCGACAATCGACACGAGAATCGCAGCAGTAGTCGAAGAAAAAAAACAAGGCGATCAAGTCGACAATGTCGGCAGAAGCAGTCGAGACGGGTCCTACCACGCATCAACGCAAAAAGCCGATTCGAACATATGGGAGGCGGTCTGCCGCCGCAGCCGCCAAAGAAGACGCAAAACCCTCGACGCCGCGACAGCTGAGTCCCGAAGGTACGCCAGCACCACAGCTACCGCCGCCCAATTTAGCTGCTACCGTTCCTCCGTCTGTCGAATGCTGCCCGAAACCCAACGCGCCCAAGTCCGGCTCGATCCTGTCTTTCTTCAAAGCAAAGCCCAAGACACCCGCACCCAGTACCAGTAAAGCGACTACACCCGCACCACTTGCCTCCGACGAGCTGACATCGACACCTCCATCACCACCGCCCTCGGGCTCCGGACAGAGAAAACGCCGCAGACTAACGACCCGTCCGACCTTTGACGATGATGCCGCTGGCGATAATCAAGCAGGCAAAAAAAGGAAAGAAAGTGGGGACGAGACGCCAGAAGCGAGAGATGGGACACCAATCAACACATCGTCAGCTTCTACAACCGAGACCGATTCGACAGCAATAACTATCTCGACACAGCTTGTTACCCAAAAGAAACGCACAGCCAAGGCCCCAGCGAAGGAAATGGTGCAGACCACGTTAAGCCTCGCAATTGGTGAGCCCCGGCCCCAGTTCATTGTTTGCAAAGAATGCAGTATGCTCTACAACCATCTCAATGACAAAGACCGGAAAGACCACAAGAGGGTGCACATGGCTTATACCCGGAGCAAAAATAAGGAAGTGGAATAGATCTGTCAATAATATCTGTCAGATCTCGCGGCACCCTATGGAGTTTGGATGATCTGTCGATCTCGAATTGGCTACACGATGAAACTCCTGCAAAGAAACAGTTTATCGCGCATCACCACTTTGGGGCTGTTGCATCATCTGCCCCAGGAATTTTGGCTGTGTTTTTGTTTGTCAAGACCTTTGGGGAAACTATAAAATGATCGTGATGGTTCCGGCTGGACAGGCCTCGGCAATAGGACATAGTATCACATTCGTCTAAAATAATCAAGCGCCTACAAAGTCGACAACATGGTCTACCAGCACGGAGACCACCACCACATTCCGGACGAGTATCGGGTGCACAAGTAAGCATACAAGTCTTCATACATGATGAGCTGATTTCTAACAAAGTCAGGCCTGGAGCATGGCTGCCCGCAGACCACCGCATCGTCCAACACTGGCTCGGCCACCATGTCAAACACGTCGACAAGGTCGGCGAGCAAGAGCTGATTCCCGTTCTCAAGGAGTTCGAGGATCTTATCGAGAACAACACCCGCATCCGCATGTACTTCTGCTCCATGTGGGATGAAGTCCCTCGCAAACCCCCTTACAACACAGACGTCACAGGCCAAAGCCAAATCCGGGACTACAAGCACATGCTCCAGGTGCTAAACCACGTCTTTGGCCGGGCACCCGAGTGGACTGCTGCCGCAGCAGGCGTCGGCCTGGTTGGTGTCCCTCTTGCCGCCATGTTTGACTACGCCTCCGCCACACCCAGCGGGCACGCTGCCTTTCTAGATCCCGACGTGAACCGTATGCTCAAGAAGATCTTAAACGAGTGGGGCAAGTACCTCACATCCCCGGAGTCCGCCTCCGTCCTCGGCGACCACCGCGCCGGCTGGTTCGGCGAAGTAAGCTACAAAGACCTGATGGAAGTCGCCAACGCCGCCGCCAGCACCTCGTACAAGTTCGAAGAAATGTACCAGTGCGATCCCTCGGCGCCCCGACACGGCTACAAATCCTGGGACGACTTCTTCACCCGGCGCTTCGTTCCCCAAGCCCGCCCCGTCGCCTCGCCCGAGGATCATCTGGTGGTGGCCAACGCGTGCGAGTCCAAACCCTATGCTCTGTCCAACGACGTCCGCCTGCGTGACAAATTCTGGGTCAAGGGCCAGCCGTACTCGGTCCTGGACATGCTCGCGCATGACCCGCTCAGCGAGCACTTCGCCGGCGGAACCGTCTACCAAGCCTTTCTGTCCCCGCTTTCGTATCACCGGTGGCACGCGCCCGTGTCGGGAACTATCAAGCGTGCGTTTGTCCAGGACGGGACCTACTTCTCTGTACCCCTCTTCCCGGCCGAGGATGCGTCGGACGAGCTGTCGGGGGACAGGACGGGCAGGGCAGGTGAGTACGAGATTTTGCAGAAGGGAATCACGGTGAGCCAGGGATACTTGACGGCGCTGGCAACGAGGGCCATAATCTTTATTGAGGCGGAGGCAAAGGAGATTGGGCTGATGGCGTTTATTGGAGTGGGTATGGACGAGGTCAGTTCGTGCGAGATCACGGTCAAGGAGGGGCAGAGGGTGGAGAAGGGAGATGAGTTGGGCACGTTCCACTTTGGAGGGTCAACGCATTGTTTGATATTCAACAAGGATGTGGGCAAGAAGCTGAAGGGTTTCCCGAAAGTCGGGAGAGAGGAGAATGTACCGGTTAGGGCGAGGTTGTGTGCTGTTGGGGAGTGAGGGATGGGAGTGCCTGCATGAGTGTGGCTCGGTACCTCTATGATAGGGAGTCGGGGTAGCAAAAGTGCTTGTGCTCAAGCAACGTTCTTGATTGAGAACAATGATGGTACGTACGTGTGTATGTCGATTAATGCACAATCTGTCCTTTTGCCCAGCTTGCCAGCCAGGCTTGTTTGATCCCGTTGACTCATTAGGTGCAGTGATACAGTATCTTTGCTTCGCTTCGCTTCTGGAATCTGGCCGGTCGGTGCCAGCAACCTGTTTTCCTCCAGATACCTGCCTTTAAAGAGGAGCCTTCGGTGATGTGTATATCTCCGGTAGGTAAAGCTAACCTCTAAGGACTACATACATTCGGATCTGTCGGTAGAGCCTATATACCGCTACCTACACATACCTATTCCCAATCATGTGCAGTCATATCGAATGTTCCAGTCGGCGTGAGACCTTTTGTGTTCTCCAGCGTCTTGCAATCTACAGCCACATTGTTTACGTGGTCTCAATACTCACTCGCGCTGCTCAATATGGCTACAGATGCTCGCAGTAAACAGTCATCAGCTGGGCATTCACTGATATTTCCTGCAGCGGAAACCTTGGTGGCAACCATCTGCCGCATTCACTGCACCTCAGCACAGGTACATTGGTTCAGAAACTCACATCACAACAGCTGCAGGATGGAATTGGACACGTTGTAGTGAAGGGCACTGGGAGTTTCTGGGAGCCTTTTCCAACATTATAAAAGACTCCTCCCTGCCCCTTCTTCATGGTCCTTTTCTTCTCTTCTCATCATCATCACACACACTCTTGATTCAGACAACCAGCTTGCCTACCCACTCTTCTTGCAATCATTACTGCAGAACAACAGCTCAACAGCTCATCTCGAACATCGTTCATCAAAGCCTGATCAACAAATTCAGCGCAGCCTCTACGCAAGCCTACCTACCTCAAGTTGTCTCAAGACTTTTTTTTTTGTGATCAACAATCATCATGTTGAACTACAATCAGAACGACAACATCAACAAGGTCGAAACTGACCGCAACAACAACAACATCAAGAAGCTCGAGAACGAGCGCGACATCAACACGATGAGAGCCGAAACCACCATGATGAGAGCCGAAACCATGGCCTCGCTCAAGCAGCAGATGCGCAAAAACATCAACGATCCGCACGAAGTTGCTGCCATTGTCAAGTTCATTCGCGAAAAGAACCGCCTCTACAACGATCAGCAGGTGTACGCCCTTCGGTTCTGGTACGAACAGCTGCACATTCTCTACCGCGAAGCGCCACGTGCCAGCCTGCTTTCAGCTGAAGAAATCGTCGACATCCTTATCGACAAGATGACGAAGCCCGAGTTCGAGATCTTTAACGAAAGATTGCTTCTGATCCGCAACCATTACCCTGAGAAGGTCAGATGGCACAAGAAGATGGAGGAGGGGTTGGGTGGTGGATATGGTTTGAAGGTGCAGGTTTGGGGAGCTGCATATCCGGGGGGAGAGAAGTTTTTGTCGGTGGAATGGCTCGAGTTGACGGAGGAGGAGAAGGGATTTCAGTGGTGGTGGTAAAGGATGAAGAGCAGGGCTGTTGGGTTGTGTGTGTTGAATTGTAGGAGCTTAACTCGGAGGGGGTTTGAACCTGATGATGGGTGCTCTTCAACATACAGGAGGAATGCAGGAGGAAGTTATCGAAGGGATTGTCATGATGGAGAGAAGGATTTGCTGGTAGCGATTTGGATTGGCTATGATGAAAGAAGAGTATGACTCGGAGGGGGTTTGAACCTGACGGGTGCTTTTTGACGAACTGAGTTACGACAGGCTTGGAGGGGATCAGGAGGAAAACAACAGCATTTCAGGCATGGGTTTGATGATTGGATATCAGGCGTTAGGGACTTTAAAGGACTTTCAGCGAGGGAAATGAGATGCATCTGGGACGGAATGGTGTTTTTTCAGATGGGATATCCTACAAGCGTTGTTTGCAAGACATCGAGCGAAGCATCATTTACACTGGCGTTAACGGAAATCAATTTTGCTCTTTGCCCTCAACATGAACTTGATTCTTGCTCTGCTTCAATGTGAAAATCAAATGCCGAACATGAAACGGAACATAGAAGAATGATACCGTAGACAACCAATTTTACCCGTGTTGTACCTTGCATTCATCAGTTCGGTAATTGTATCAAGATGAACTGGTCTTATTCCTTCCAACAGGTAGTGTGCCTTACTATGCGTCCAACTAAAACTGTGAACTTGAAGAAGAATCTCTCACTTCACTTCTGCTCGCTTATGTAATGTCATCAATGTACTACTGCCCGTTTAACTTAACACATCTGAACCAAAATGTCGGATTGCCCTTTCCCTCAGACTTCGCATTTCCAGCGGCACCCCAAATTCGAAGGGAAGCAGCAAGTCTACCCAGTCCACCTGTCATCAACGGTAGTGCCAGCCATCCATCGCATGTCAACCAGACCAAGTCCCAAGCAATAGCTTCTGACGCGGTATCTACCCCTAGCTTCATGTCCACATTCCCCAACAATCACGACGAAATTGCCTTAACACTTAATAGTGGCCCTCCCCAAAGAAGAAGGTTTGAGGCATGTGAACAAATTAAATCATATACTGGTAAGGAAGAGAGTCCAGGACAGGCATGTGGTTCCAGCTCTGTGATCTCAAGTACTTCGAAAACTTGCCCAGGGTTAGATGTAGCCCAAAAAAAAAAAAAAAAAAAAAAAAAAAAAAGAAAGAAAGAAAGAAAAAGAAAAAAAAAAGGGATGGGCCACGAGTTCATCACTGTCCTTTTGTAAGCTCAGGCCCAACTCTTCCTTCACTCTGACAGTTGAACCTACCAGGTAACGTGCACTCGAATACCTTTAGTTAGCTGTACTGTGTGTTGTTACCAACCTTGCCTATGTCTAGCCGGCGCCGAAATGACAAGCACGAACATTGTAGAGCAACAGCTTCACGGTAGCTTCCAGATCCTCTGACTTAGGTAAAGACAAATAATGGAGGTACATCTACTTAGGTACAAGTCATTTTCATTGAGATAGATATACTAAAAATGACTTTGTTCGTCGTTGTTCGTTGTGGCAAGCTCATTAGGTTGTAAGGAAACCGAGTTCTTGTCGAGTGATGAGCACACAAATCCAGCAAGGTGCGTTTGTGGACATGGACCTTGACGATACTACCTGTACCAAGACTCTTTCAGTCCTGAGCCGACCCAGAGGACAGGTAGATGACTTGCTACGAGCACAACTGGATACATTCCTGGAAAGTGCCTTGACGACCTTCCCTACTACTTAAGATTACTACACGGACAACACTTAAACAAATGGCTTGGCTGTACATCAACCAGACTGCTGATTTCCTTGAGGTCATATGCCTCGGCCTTGAGCCTTGGTCGCCCAAGAATTCTGTCGACCTACGGTGATTCGTGCTGTAAATCTGAAATGGGAGTCGGCTCGGGCCGAAGAAGGAGTTCTGGTCGGTGTCTGATAATGTTAGTTCCGTCACTAACTACCACTGGGAGTTCCCGACGTCACATGGAGTAACGGTACTGCATCTGCTAGTAATTATGAACACGATCAGCATCACAATGCATTCTTTCTTGATTAAGGCATCCATCTCGTCGATATCAGATCTCCATGTACTGTGTAAATGGAAAATAAAAAAAAAGAGAGATCGCCTGGGAATCGTACACGATTGCGCAGGAGAGGAAAAGTGAACGCCCCGTTAGATTGCACAATCGTTCCAACCTTGCTCGCCTCCAGCCATCTGCGGATCACGAGCCAGCCGTTGTTTCCGGGCTGAAGGTCTGCTGGCCAAAACGTGAAGAAGTGTCCGGTTTCGGTAGAGGTAGGTATGTACGGGCAAGTAGCGATAAGCAGCGAGATGAAGCAAGCAATGCCTGCAATAAAAATGATCAGGTGATGTGTCCTGCCTCTACTCAGGTCTTTGCTCTACCTTGGGTCTTTGCCCTCCGTGGTGAGTTTCCCAGTTGATGACACGGTGGTTTTATGTCTGTGTTGGTGCTGGTGCTGGTTTGCATTTTGGGTGATGATGAAAAGAAGTTGAAACCCTCGATGACTAAGTAGGGCGAGGCATTACGTGCTTCCTCCTACCTTGCGTTTGCCTTGCCAGGCGACGCAGCTGCTTCATGTGGGCTGTAATGCGCATTACCAGTAAAGTGCACAGAGGGAGGAACGATGACGAATGGAGTTGCAGTGTGTGATGTTGTTGGAGGGAAACAAAATGGGAAAAAATTTGCAGATTCAAGGCACCTACATACACTGAAACAATGCATTGAGTGGTTCCTGCGTTTGATATGCCCGAATAAATATTAGATATGAAGTTGATGTCCGTTGGTGCCATTGATCACACGAAACCCTCGAGTGACCGTCGGACTGTTACCAGTTGCCTCGGAGCAACCCAACAACTTTCGTGGTGATGCCTTTCATATCATTCAAATTGGTTTTATCTCACCACCAACTTGAAACTTTTTTTTTTTTTTTTTTTTTTTTTTTCCCTGATGGTCACAGACTAGATTGCCTACATCCCGAGTAGTAAAATTTTCTCTTGGTCCTTGCACTGTATTTTCCAGATGAATCCTTAGATATGCGGCCTATTCCCAGATTTTGCAAGTGACCTTGACGCAGAGGATGATGATGCCTTCCAGTAGCCCAAAGAAGCAACCGTCAGGTAGGTAATTTTGGTCTGCACTATCGCAATGGTGAGCTTTGCATTTGTCATGAGATTCGGATCCCCGTAGGACCATTGCGTGCCGCCGAAGTTGATCCTCGGAATTCTTTGCCTTGATACTTGCGTACGTGGCTTCCAAGCGAAAGTGATGCTTCATGTCTGTGGTCGGCCACACCGGTAAAGGAGTACGTACGGACATCAAAAATTTTTCCCATGCAGACGTCTCTCTCGTCGACTGTTACAAAGGCCATCTGGTGATCTGTCCCTCATCATATGTCTGGATGGAAGCGTGTTGAGCCATGTGCACCTCAATATCGCCATCTGGAAGCATGAAATCATATTCATCATGCCCGACCCCGACCTCCGTGCCTTGTTGAAGTGTGGGATTGCTTCCTCCGGACATCCATATAAAAATAAAATAAAAACCCGACAATGCAATGCAATGAGCACCTCAACCGGGTGTCCGCTGTAATTATGGCCTGTTGAGTCCTAAGGTGCTCGCCCAACTTTTCGATATAAATCTCCCCTCAGTCCTTCTTGCTGGTCATCACTTCCAACCACCACTCCCATCATCAATTCGTTCTTCCACCAGAGAAACTCCAGCCGAAACCATCCAACTCGAATCAAAACTACAAGGCAAGAGTACCGTTCTCGTGATCCGAGCCAGAAATAGCAGCGGCGACATACCTCCATCAACACCTCGTGAGTAAAACGCATACTTCAAAATTCCCACCACTCCATGACATCGGACTCTGACCCATGTTCCATACCATAGCAAGCAACGAAGTACCTCAAGGTGCTCGTCTACTGCCAATATAAGTCACGGTCAACCTCGACGCCCCAACGATGTCGGACAATTCGAACACCCACAGCCTTCCGCTGTATGCACTCGGAAGTTATGGGAGTTCCAGAGCCAGTCACCAGACGCCATTGCAGAGGGGGTTTATCTCGGTACGGCTTCATAGGCCGTATCGTGATACCAGAATCTTCAGAATTCCGAGACCTGAGAGCTTTGAAGAGCTTCAAGTAATGGCGTGCGAAAAATGTGGGGTTCTTGCCCGACCCCGTGAGTTGGTATTTTATGTAAAGCACCGTACTCAACTGGGGTCGGGCCAATATGGATCTTTGAATTGGGTCCGGCTTGAGGCATGGAATTGGGGGCGGTTCCGAGATTCTCTGAGCAATTCCGCGACTACCCCTACGCTCAAGATTATCTGGCAGCCCAGCCAGGCAACTTTGCGCGATCTGCGTGACACTGCTGGGTATTCTGACGACGGCGAGGACGAAAGCTCGGACTTCGATTCATACACATGAGGGGGCGAGGGTCTAGGAAATCTCTGCTGGGTGGTATTTCGAGTCGACGTCATGTAACTACCACACATAAACACGACTATCTGGGGTAGGCTTCTGAGCCCAAACACGATTGACACTTCTCTTGATACACAATGGAAAAAAGGAACACATGGCTGTTGAATAGTGGACCCCCGCCTGTACTTTCATTAATTAGTTTTACAACCGAACACGCCACGATCTAGGTTACCATCTAGAGCCTTGATTGTCGCTCCTCGTCGGGGTTCTTGACCTCGATTAATAATTTACCTGTGTTTCGGACATTCCGCAGTCAGTGAAAAGGACATCCATATAGGTAACCAGAGCCTGAAGAGAGAAAGTGGCACTTACCGATGTTACCACCCTTATAAAGCTGAACCATGCCTTCATCCGCGACTCTGACGCCTCCCTTGAGGATGGTCTCCTTTCTCTTCAGCTTACCTTCAGCCAGCCACTGGGCGAGCTGACCGAGAGCGGTTGGGTACTCATCTTTGTAGTCGAAGACGATGAATCCTTCCATTCTGATTCTCATGGTGATGACGTTGTTGATGTTCTGGAACTTGTTAGTAGAGCACTCTATGGCGCTTATCGTTCCGAGAAAATGAAAGCCACCCACCTTTGGCCCTTGCTTGTGCTCGGCATTGTACTGACTGATACCACCGCACATGACGAACCGAGCGCCTCTGTTGGCCCGAGCCAGCGCCATATTAAGTTGCTCGCCGCCGACTGTTTTGATCATGTCGTGTTAGCCGTATTCACACATCGTCCCTATCGTGCCCATCTCGTCAAATCCATCCATTCCATGGCCATGTCCTCCACTCCCACCCAAATGGACCAACCCCTTTTCCCCACAAACACCAGACACTCCCGCATCACTCCAAGTGGAAAACTCACCATTGTCAAAATAAACATCGACAAAGTCCGGCGTCGCCTCCCTGAACTTCCTCCGAAACTCTGGATCTTTGTAATTAAGCGCCACATCCGCACCTCCCTCCTCCACCAACCATCTACACTTCTCATCACTGCCCGCCGTGCCCACCACCCTCTTGGCGCCCTGAATCCTCGCAATCTGCACCGCCACCGACCCCGTCGCCCCGGCCGCCGCGCTCACCACCACCGTATCCCCCCGTTTCACATTCCCAATCTTCATCATGCCGAAATACGCCGTCAGCCCCGTCATGCCCAGCACACCCAAGAGATCCGTCGTTTTTCCACCGGGCGGCAAAAACGCCGGCTTCTCAATATGCCTATCACTGAGAATCCCAATCTCGCGGATCCCGTTCATGGCCGTGACGATGTCCCCCGCCGCGGCCTTGGGACTGCGAGAGGCCAAGACGCGGCAGATGCAAAAGGCGCGCATCACTTCGCCGATTTGCACGGGGGGCACGTAGGAGCGTACGTCGTCGAGCCAGCCGCGCATGGCGGGGTCTAGCGAGATGTACAGAGTCTCGAGGAGGAGGTCGCCTTCGTTGAGGTCGGAAGGGACGGGGGCCGGGACGGCGCTCACGCGGAAAGTGTGGCTGGGGATGATGGGGCCCGTGGGGCGGTGGACAAGCTCCAGTTGGAGGGAGTGGGATTTGTAGCCGTGGGTGTGGTGGAACATTTTGGCGGTTTTTGGTGTGTCTGTTCCTGTTTGGTGAAGGAAATGAAAGGAGGTGTTGTATTGAAAGGGAAAAAGAGGTGAGGTTGAGATAAAGTTACCTAGGTAGGTATATCTCAGGTGGCTGGTAAACGGCGTTTACTAGGTACCTTAGGTATGTTTGGTGATTGGCGTATGGGAAGATGTCCAGTAATTGTTCAGCTTGGATCGGTTTCCCTAATTCCCTTTTGTTTCACAGAGGGCCTCGCTTAACTTGCCAAATACGGGCGCTGAAGGACAAGGGGTTCTGGAATTCCACTCGAATAAACCTTTTCTCTGTTGGATGTGAGATGAAGATATTATCGAGGATGGGTTGCGGAGTTCTAGGAAGACAATCCCCCAGATTTAGGTGTTGTCAGAATTGGGCCGAGGTTGAATTATGTGGAGGAGGTGAGGTTGTAACAGGGCAGCAGCGACAGGGACAAGGAGAACATCATCAGCTGTCCCGTCTTCGCGCACCCAGCGGTTCGCCCGTTCGTGCTAGTGTAGTGGCCCGCTAGGCCTCTTACGGGGCCCCACTCATTCTGCCGGACCACCCACGGGGAAGCTCCAGCTGCCGGGCCAAAGCCTGGACCGAGGCCCCCGGCAACAATTTCCATTTTCGGATGACAACCCCGGCGACCGTGACGTCGTCCGGATCATGATCCGAATGGTACATACAATTATTGCAGAAACATCAAGCCGATAACAACGTAAACATTGTGCTGCAGTTGTCTGAGTCTAAATCTATCTCTACGAAGCAGGCAAATGTCTGAGAGCTACCTACTTTTACGGGCCTACCTTGATAACCCCGAGTCGGTTTTCGACTTTTCTGATACTCATCTGGCACTTATTCATTCCTTCAACTCAAGGAACCTGTTCATTATTTGTGTACATGTACCTACGTCACAACATATGCAAGGGTACCTCGTGGATGCAGGTATCTTCCAGTATCAGTCCTTCATTTTTTCCTCATCTCGACACAAACAGTTCAACCATTCCTCCGACACTCCCGTATACCCCCTCTCCTCCAACCAAGCCACTAAGCCCGTACCAGGGCAGCTCCAACTACTACTGTTAGACCGCGCCGCAGTCAGAGCCAGCAAGAAACCGACTCCCACCAGATGGCCACTGTTGTACCCAAAGCCCCCGTCCAACAACAATCCTTTCAAACTCAGTACTGTCGACAGCTGACTACCTCTACTTGACGTCTCCATGTCTACAAACCCCTCCGCTACTTCCACCAGGGGCATCTTTGTTTCCTATCCTTTCCTTGTTTTTCAAGAACCAGTCCAAGGAAGAAAACAGTCCTGAACTGTACTTGGCCGGTACAAGCTCTCCTGCCGCCTCGGTTGTAGGTTGGTTCATTGTACTATATGTAGCCCCAGCAGCAGTTGAAGTAGAAGGGGTGCCATCTGTGTTGCTATTATCCTGAGTTGTGACCATACGCCTCTCCATCATAATGGCTTTGATCTCTTCTTGAGCAGTCTAATCTTGGTCCGGTGCGAGATGGATGCTCATGTCGGGTTTGGCTGGTATAGGGGACTTGGGCTGGGTCGTGGCACCAGCTCCGGTCGAAGTCGAGATGGATGGAGTGACGGTCGTCTCGGTCTTGATACTAGGCCCGGCGGAAGTCGAGGGTGAAGCAACTGCATCCATAATGGCAATCTCCTGAGTGGTAGTGTCATGCCTATCCACTGCCCATAACTCGTCTTGACCACCAGTTGGTTGCTCTTTGTCGTCAACGCTGGGGTCGACTGAAATTTCCCGCTCTATGTCGGCATCATGTACCCACACAGTGTCCTCGTACAACCAGATAAAGCGATCCAGGTGTCTGCGACTGACCGCCGGGCAAACGCGCAGCTCTCTGCGACTTCTGCGTTGATCGCGGGATCGACGACTGTTACGATGCCAGCCATGTACGTGCGTTGGAGCATCCATATAGTCAATGGCTAGAGGGGATTTCTGGAGAGAACTGAATCAGCTACTGTCCCTTGCCAATGGTGTACAAAGATGTAGATATGTGCTGTAGGGAGTCTTTACCTGTCGGCTGTGACGATGGAGAAGAAATGAACACTCGTCAATGTATTGACGTAAAAAGTGCCCGGTAGATGCGTGTAGAGATACCGTTGAAGGTGTTGAAGACTCTTGGGGTACGCAAGGTGTCCGGTTGCAGATGTGTGTTCGCTATCTAGATAACCATGGATGTATATGATAGCAGTAGAAAAAAAGAAAGCAAAAATGGTGCGAGAGGGCAACGGAGAACGATGTCCATTATACCACGAGAGACAATGATCCCTTCACTGGGTTAGCTGTCAAGCCTGCAACCCCGGATACGTGGAGAATCAAACCTTGATCCACCTTCGAGGGAATGAGTGTCCCTTCGAGGGGGTATATGCTTCCATGGTCATTGCTTTCTTCCCATCCAAAGAAGGTTGCGGTTCTGAGATATGTTGTTGAGGTCAGCATCCGTCTTTAAGACCGCGCATAGCTCCGCATTTTCATTGCCGGCGTCGATCCTGCCAGCGTACCTCGCGTCTATTTATACATGTTAGATAAGAAGACCTGGAAGCATTCGCCAATGATGTGGTAATTAAGCTGATGGGATTGTCCACGCTCTTGATTCTGCTGATAAGGAACTGGTGTTGTGCGGACCATAGATGTGCGAGTCCCCTTTTCGTTGGCTCTGAACATCTTGTAGTGGCGATCCAGCGTCCAGCTTTATATCGGCATCTCAAGGTATAGAAGACCTTCAACCACTAGATATGCTGTTCCCTAGTTCATGTCTCATTATCAGTGTCAGCGACCTGCTTCTCTTGGCCGGAGAGAGCACGAGCTGGGCGAAGGTGGCTTCCTAATAAGTTTTGGAAACCTCTGAAGGAAATAGTTAGAAGCTCCATCATTGCCTCATTCTAGAAAATATCAATAATGAAGTTGATCAAGATCCACGTCTTTTCAATCCAGGGGCCGTAGTCTGGTACCACTTGTCACTTCAAATAGTGGCAAAGCTGGCAAGTATTTTTGCGTGCAACACTTGTGCACACAAATATTTTGTAACGGAAAGTTGTTGGCGGTAAGCTTTAGTACTGAGAGACAGCCCAACGCAGCTACTCAGTTCATCGGAATCCAAGCTCCTGTTGTTCTCCACGAAAGTCCTCTCGATCGAGCTTTGATTCTCCTCCAGCTTCTGCTTCGGGCGTAACAGGCCGAATTCTGCGACTTCAGCGATAAAACAGCGATGAGATTCTGCTGCTTGTTTCCCATACAAAAAGGCGGAGTCTGTGGCCTCCAGGGCCTTTCGGTAGCCCTTCTTCCCGTGCGTTGAAGTCCTCTACAGAAGCTTCGTGGGCTCCCACTTATCTTGCAATGAAAAGAGCGCGAGGGCAGCTTAAGACAGGGAGTTCTCTCTATTGTCAGCCCGAGTACGCAGCGACTTTCTCGTCCCGGTCATGATAAAGCCATGTATATACCTATTCGGTATTCTGAGAGCATCACTTGTGCACACATGAGGAATCGAACTAAGAAGCTAGGTTTGTAGTAGGCTGTAGGAACAAAAACGCATTTAGCAAATAAGTAGACATATCAGGAACAGGACATGAGAAGATCAACCTCACCAACAATTGAAGGAGTGTATCTCAAAAATTGAAGAAGAGTATACTGTCACGCTTGAAATAGTTGAGTGTTACCATAACATCGCCAGCACCTAGAAACACCGACCCATAATATAGTCTCTGACGATCCTTGCGGAGAAGCGGCGTGGATATGGACTCATACTTAGCAACTCTAATCAACAACATGCGATTCCAAGACCAGGGAGTTAACGATTGAGATCGGGCCACGAGGACTTAGTAACCCTTGCAGAGGATAATGAACGCCATCCAGATGTTTTCGTGGGAAGCAGCTCGAACAGAAAGCGGTCCGATTGATTTCGAGCTAAGGTGTAGGTATGTGGTGGTAATCAAGTGCGCATGAAGTGCGCATTTATATAGTCGTTGTAGAGTTTAACAGGAAGAGGTAGCGGGGGCGACAGATGGTGCAAGGCAGGACTATTGATGAAGTCAGTCATATGGATAGGGGGGGAAGGACACTTACAAATATTCGTGATGTTACCACTTGCTCACGGCACATATGTTTGCTGTGACTACTGCCAATGTTGGTCGTAATCCTCCCGCTTGCGATGGGAGTCATGGCTGACGCAATGAGCGTTGATTGATGGTGTTGATGGTACCAAGCTGATATTCTTCATTGCTCAAGTAATTCCAGTCGCTTGTTGCCAAGACTGATGCCTCTGGTTTGGTTGGGGTTGCAGGCCAGAGGTGGTTGAGCAATCGGGGAAGCGCAAAGTCTGCGGTGACCATAGTGATGGAGAGGAGGAGAGAAGTATGGGAGGAAACCAGGGCTCACAACGTTTTCCCATCATCCAGTGACTGCTTTCTCCAGACCATTCAATGAATCCAGAGTTCGGAACTGCCAAAATTGCATCTGGGTTCCGGGTAGCCTAGAGATAGATGGTGACGGGTCTCTCAAGCCCGTGCTCGCCGGCTTTGTTGCAAGTCCTGTGAGAGCAGAACGAGCTGGACATTAGCTGGCCTTGAGCTGACCGACTCAAAAGGAAGCACAAAGTGACACGTCCACTTACAAGCACACTAATTTCGACATATCGTTCTGCCAGGTCGCTTTTCTTAGTCGCTACACGCACGGCTCCTGGTGCCGGACTTTGTGACTATTCCCAGCAGCGGCCCATTCGCGAGGTCATCGACATCAGCAGCGACGACGAGGACATGAAGCGGATTCTTAGCAACACTGCTTATCGCTTACAAAGGCGATGGAATTCCCGTCGTCAGATCCAGAAGCCACTACCTGTCCACCAGCGCCGATCTACCCTCCTCCTGTCACTAAATAAGAGGGTGGGCTTTTGTCGCTGTCGCTGGGATTTGGAGGGCTTGGGATGACCAAGCCCTTGATAGTGCGTTCTTGTTCCGTTGGATGGGAAGACAAGAACAAACAGAAATAAGAGTGGAAAGAAAAAGGACAACAGCGCTGCCAGCAAGAGCATAGGGCAACGGCAATGACGCAATTCATGACACTGAAGACGACTTTTTCGAGCCCTTCGACAACCTCGAGTGCGATATTGATGATCAGCAGCAGCAGAGCGGTTTCACATATCAAACCAAAGATATCTCAAATGGCCCTTGTCCTTGCCACAGCCGTCACAGTTTCGACCCTTCTCTCCGTGACACCAACGACACGCCAAGATACTGGTTCGTCCGATGTCTGAAGTCCCACGTTTGAGTAGCATCGAGACACTAGTCCCTGTCCATTCCCGAAAGCCTCGCACGAGGAAGATGACGAGGTCAAGGTCGAAACGTGTTGAGCATTACGGACAAGCTTGACATGTCAGTTGCCCCACAACGTCTTGCTTGAGGTGATAACAAGCTTTGGGCGCTCGCACTTGGTACATGTCAACCTGACAGCATTGTCATCACCACGGCTTTTATCCAGCAACTTGCCGATACAGCGTCATTGAGGAAGCATACGAACAACAGCAGCAGCCGGTGTTTTCCTCTTAGAATCACAAAACTCGACAAAGCATTGGGTCTAGGGGGTGAAGGAGGTGAAGAGAACATAACAGTCAGAAAAAGCTCTTGGCCGCTTCGTCCGACCTTCAACCCGGACTCGAGGTGATGCCTCCAACTTCGTATGTGCGTGCGTGTCAAATGCCAGCTCGACACATGGCATCCAGCATCTTCAGCAGCTCAGCTTCGCTTGTTCGGGAAAAGGCAAAAGGTCTTCTGACTAGAGTGTACAGCAGTGCACTGTACTGGTGGCCAGGTACCTTTGTAGCGTATAGTGATATGCAGGAACCACCAAAGATCGACAGTTATCCTCGAATGCCGTTATGTAACAGAAACACCCCGACATCGCGGTCTTTCAAGCCTTTCATGGTCTGGATGTTTCGGTTTCGGCATTCCTCCAGGGGAACAGCAATGGTCTCGGGTATTCCGTTGAGCGTTCACATCGGGCCGTCCGTTCGCTGGGTCGGTTCTTTGTCGGGGAGTTCTTTGCCTTCGTCATCGCCATCGCGAAGGAACCGAACGCATTGTCCATGCAGTCCTGTCTCTGTCAAAGCTGAGCATGGACAGCATGGCATGGTCGAAGCTTCTAAGGAAAGGAGCAGGAGACGGCGATCAAAGCTTAACTTGCCAAGTATGCACCGGGGATGTCTCCTGGGCTTCTAGACCCTTTGGATCCTCACCGACGTGGTGATGGGTTCAGCTCGGTTCGGTTCGGGTTTGTTGCCCTGTTCATCGATCAATGTCATGACTGAACAGTCGGTGGTGGGCTCTATTTTGAGAACGGGAGACCAAATGAGCTGGGACAGAATAGTCGAGTCGGTCAAGCTCTTTTCGCCTAACTAACGGCGTACCCGAAGCCCGGCTTCTCGCGGGTCAAGTAAGCGTGATGCGTCTTTGGTGTTGGCGTGGTTTTGGGAGTCCGTCGGTCGAGGACAATGTGGATTGTGGGTGGCGGGGGGATCACTGGACTTGACTGGGTCTCGACAAGACATAATATCCACACTGAACCAAGTATGCAATAATTATATAAGAATTGGATGGATATGTACAAGTTGCAGGTGCGCCCCTTGCGTTGGTTGTGTGTTTCGGCGTGAAGCTAAAGTCGCTCTTGCTGTGTACACTACAGCGATGCATGGTCCTGCTGCAGCTGCAGTTGCCGTTGCAGTCACCATTCAGGATCCATGCCGACATTCGAGCGACGCCGGCGGAAACCAAGACCATGAAGACATCTCCGAACAACGAAGAAGGAACGTTGAGTGGTCTGGACGAATCAGAAAGCAGCGGGTGGGAAAGTGTTACTCGATATTTACTCGATTAGTACTCGATTGTTACTCGATCAAAACTCACTTTCTTCTTATCCGCCAGAAGGTTCCGCTCTTTCCCTCTACGCTAGATTTACACACAACGACGGAGTCATGCGAGCCATACAAGCCATGGTTGGGTCGGTCAGGTCACTGAATAACCTCGGGTTTGCCTCCTAAATCCGGAATCTCGTCGAGAGAGTATGTATTTTCTCACCGATACGAGCCCTGCGTCAACATTCCTGCGACACTTTGTTTTTCGCTGAGATGGAGCTGGCTGTGATGTCTGGGCATTGTCGTATTAAGCAGGGAGGCTCTACCGTTGTCGTCATGTTGATTTCCTTATCATCAGTGACGCAGTTGAAACAGAAACACTCAGATCCCGTCCTCACACTGCACTGCAATTGACACTCAGCTGCTATCAAGTGATGAATTGTCGCGATCCACTGTGGCATGGAGTGGCAGGCGGTGACTTTCTCCATCTGGACCCTGCAAAACCACTTCCTTACCATTGCCCTACTTTTTCAGTCGTTCTCATGATTGGACAATCTTCCTTTTCCAGTGGGGGGCGTGTCTGGAACCTTATCTGGTGGGGTGTGTTTGCATCGGACAGCGGCTGCTTCCGACTAACAAAACCGGGCGGCAACCGCAATGGGAAAACTGCGGACTGTTGCAGCGCGCACCAATTAACGGCCGCCGATAACTGCAAGACAAAATTCTGTCGATTGTCTCTCTCTCTCTCCTTCCACTCCTTCCATTCCATACCTATTCGCCTTCCAATTCCATGTCCCTTCCCCTTCCGATATGTTCCCTATCAGTCCGCCATCTACATACACTACAGCCTCTTGGTAAAGGAAAACCCGGCCAATTGGGTGTCCAGTGTCACGGTCTGATAGGATCATATCGATGGTATTCTCCTGTTATCTCCCTCCATCCCCTTAGATCTCAACCTGATCAGCAATCGGTACATCTCTACGGGATATAATCTGCTAGCTCCCTATGGTAGCACTTCAAGAAACATAAGGCGGGCCGATGACGGACCGGCTTTTCCATGTGCCTTTTAGATCAAGGTTGCTTGCCACCTTGAAAAACAACGCTAACAAATTATATCCCAGCAGAGGTGAATTTCTCCCAGAGCCTAGCGGCCCGGGATCTACCTCTCTGCCCTACGTGCTTTTTTCTCTTATCTCCATGTTGGCACTACGCGCGGCACCCCTGACCAAAACCAAGCGGGAGAGCGTGTGACAGCTTCATCTCAACTTTCTGGGGAAAGGAGCGCCGCTCGATGATGTAGTAGTCTTATCGTCTTTTATGTATGTGTGTGGGTGGGTATGATGGATGGAGATGGATGGATGGGGAACGATCTACCTCTACCGGTACCGCCTTGTCATCACCACCACCACCATGCTAACGGCTCGCTTGTTGATAACTGTGATTTCTGGGGAAGACGTCTCAAGATCCTTTGGGTGAGGGATGGAGGCTCAAGTGCGCCTCCATACGGACCACCCGAACGGACCCTCGGGAAGCATGGGGCAGCATATGGGGAAAAAAAAGTCTCGAAACGCTAGCTGATTCGGTGGAGCTCGCTTTTTTTCCCTCACGGCGCGGAACGGAGCCTCACGATCCTTGACCCCATACCCACACATTCACGATGCCTCGACCGATCGGTCCAGCTCGGGAGGTCAACGCAGTCCCAGTAGGGCGGTGGAGTCTCCTCGCGGCAAACGGCACTTTACAAGGGCTTTCCATCATCATGGATATTACTATCGGACCCTTTCTTTATCTCGAGAACCCGTCCCTTCTCACCTCTTCTTCTTTTTCTTCCCATCTCTTGTTCTAGGTACACCTACTATCTCGTGCCTACTAGACACTACACAATACCCCCCCTTTCTTTGTTTGAAATATAACACAAACAGCCGAATCTCTTATCAGCTTTACTCGATCTTTTATTGTTCACCGTAACGGCGTCTTACATATCGTATCCCGCCTCTTATCAACCAACATCTTACACCGGCACGGCACACCCCCTTCCACACACACACACACAGCCACAGGATAAAGTCCGAACACAGATAAGCTCCCGCATCCTGGTGATCATACGTCTTATCCCCGGATCCCGGTGAACATTTGTGTTGTGAGCTCGCGAGCTTTTAGCACAAGCCAAGCAAGAAGAGGAATACGAGAACACTCTCATTCTCCCTTTGGCTTTTGCTTCCTCTCCCTCTCTTAGAACTAGCGGCCTTGTCGGTTTTCACAGAGGGAGCGCCCTAGCCAACTTCAAACCACATCCACAACATATAACGCGCAACAATGACGGTATTAACCTTCCTCCCGGACGCGGCAGCTGACCCGCTTGTCGTACTCGTCTCCAACAGGGCCGTTCTCACTCAGCCTGACGACTCGCTCCTCCTCACACCCGCTACCATCGCCATCTCCTCCACCACCGGCAAGATCGTCTTCGTAGCCCCAACCGTCCTGTCGAAAGAAGCGTTCCCCGCGTCGAGCACATATGTGGACTACGGCAACAAGCTCATACTCCCTGGCCTTGTAGACGCCCACGTCCACCTCAACGAGCCCGGCCGTACAGAATGGGAAGGCTTCGCGACTGGCACGAGGGCGGCTGCCTCGGGCGGCGTCACTACCGTCATCGACATGCCATTGAACGCCATTCCTCCCACCACCACACTCGAAGGCTTCAAGGTAAAACTTGCTGCTGCTCAGGGTCAATGCTGGGTCGATGTTGGCTTCTATGGCGGCGTCATCCCCGGCAACGCCGATCAGCTGCTCCCCCTCGTTGAGGCCGGTGTCCGTGGCTTCAAGGGATTTCTTATTGAGTCCGGAGTCGACGAGTTCCCCGCCGTCTCCTCAAGCGACATTGCCCTCGCCATGACCACTCTCAAGGACACTCCGACGACCCTCATGTTCCACGCCGAGATGCTTCCGCCAATCACTGACTCGGTCGGCGACGGCGTCACCCGCTCCGAGCCGCCCCTGGCCCCCAAGGGCGAGCTGACCAGCTACTCCACCTTCCTCGAGTCGCGCCCGCCCGCCTTCGAGACGTACGCCATTGAGGAGATCCTCTCCATGGCCAACCTTGCGCCTCAGCTGCACCTGCACATCGTCCACCTGTCGGCGACCGAGGCGATCCCGATCCTGCGCAACGCCCGCGCCCGCGGCGT